TCATAATGTCGATATTTTCTATAGTTTATGGACAATCTCGGTCTGTTGAACTTTGATTGATCACCTGGGTCATAATCAACTGCATTTCGAAGAAGCTGATGAACCTCAGCTTTTTCGAAAGTCTTGATGTTTCGTTCTTTAATGACTGACACGAGTGATGGAAGTTTCAGATCCCTGGCGATCTGGTTATTCCGAACATACCAAAGAGATCCTGTCACCATTCTGGCGATTTTGTTTTGTAATGTTTGTAATCTGGTGATATGAGATTCAGCTGTGTGGCCCCAGACTACTGAGGCATACAGTAAAATTGGCCTGATAGCCATGATATAAATATTCAATTTTTGTCTCAAACCGAATTTACTTCGTCTGTTTAGAAATGGATACAGGGCTCCAATGGCTCGTTTAGCTTTAGAAACTTGCTGTTCATTGTGCTGGGCCCAGGTGAGCTTTTTGTCAATGCACACACCTAAGTATTTAACTTGTGAAGACCACTCTAACTCATGACCATCCAGGACTATTCTGGTTCTGGGAGGCCTTCGCTCCCTTCCGAGTGCGACCAATTGTGTTTTTGTAGGATTCAATTTGATCTTTCATCTCAGGAAGTACTCCTGAAGAGAATTCAGTGCGCTTTGGAGGTTCATAGATTCTTGCTCGAAATTTGTCGAATATGCAAGAACTGCCGTATCATCAGCAAAAAGTGACATCTTGCACATCACTGGTCTTGGCAAATCGCTAGTATATAAACTGTACAACAGCGGAGATAAAACTGCACCCTGAGGAACACCAGCTTCAATGGTCTTGATAACAGATCGTTGATCATCAAGTTTTACTTGAAAAGTTCGATTTTTCAGAAATGGAGACATCAACTGAATCAAATCGTCAGGAAAGCCCATATCGATCATTTTGTACAAGATACCGGGTTGGATCGTTACCACCGATACAACAAGGCCAGCAGACTCTGACGTAAACAGCTCGTGACGTCACCAAGAGAGGCCAGTGTTTTATTTTATCGCTTGTCGACTAACGCGTCAGTTCGTGTTAATTCATCGATGATTCACGTATGTTTTTGAAACGGTCCCGAATTCTTTCGTTGTTTATTCATCAAAATAATTGGCGGAAAAATTACTGTTTTGTGAAATATTTTGTGTTGTGATCGGCGAAATAACAATGCCTTTCAAGTGTTGTGGTTCAAAAGTTCATGCTCTTAGTTTCCCGTTGGACGAGGAGCTATCGAAAATGTGGGTATATGCAATTCACCGCGAGGATTTTACTCCATCTAAGCTGAGTAGTAAACAGAGCTTAATTTATAATGATGAATTATTAATAGAAGACAATTACTCTCTCATAAAAAGTATAAGTAGAGGAAAAATAGAAAAGCTTTGATTGTACAGTTAGTTTTGTATTCGTATATTATAGTCAACAAAATCATCTCTGAATTCGAGGAAATCTTCTTGAATGTTCATAATAAACGGGCATTTTTAATTCTCATTCTCAAATTATATATAAATATATATAAAAATAATCTACATCGTGGTATTAACTAGACTATTAGACGAATACGACAAAAATATAATTGGGACGGTATCACTAAAGACGTTGAAAATTTAATGAAAAATTGCCATGTATGTCACAAAACCAAAGTGTGTAGGAAAAATCTTAATAACCCATTAGTTATAACAGAGACATCCCATACTGCTTTTGAACGAATTAACATAGACATTGTCGAAGTCCCAGTTAAAAATTACGCGCTAACTATTCGAGACGAACTCACAAAATTTACACAAGCTTACGTACTTCCAGATAAATCCGCTAGATCCGTTGTAAACACCCTTCTTCTATATTTTCAACATTTTGGAACCCCCCTACGGATCCACTGTGATTACGGACGAGAATTCGACAATACTCTAATAAAAGACTTATGCTCATTGTACGACATCAAAATATCTTTCTCTAGCCTAAACCATCGGCAATCAAACGGCTCTATCGGAAGATTTCATAGCACACTCCTCGAAATGATTCGTGTCAATATGGCAGAGAACCCAGATAAACATCCCTTCAATATTCTCCCATATGCAATTATATGCTATAACAATTCCACTAATAAAACTCATGGTTTCACCCCACATGAGTTAGTTTTTGGACACAGGGCGAGTAGACCACCTGAAACTCTTTATAATCAAAAAGCTCTAATTTCAAAATACGTGAGAGACTTGAACAATCGAATATCGTACTACTATAAAGTAGCAAGAGCAAAGACAGACCGCACTAAACAAAAAGCAAAAGAACGCTTTGACAAAACCGTTTCAAAACAGACTGAATACAAAGTAGGAGAATAGGTGTACATAAAAGAATCCCAAATAAAAGACAAATTACAAAAAAAATTTAATGGTCCATTCAAAATTATAGAAATATTGAAAAATTCAGCGATACTATTAAATCCGCAAACAAATCAAAGAACTAAAGTTAATTTCGATCGCATGATACCGTATTCTGAAAACTAATTTATTTTCAGGTTCACTCTGCTGCTCGGATCAGCAGTTTGTCAATTCAAAATTTCGCCGATTAATAAAACTCTCGGTGTGTACTACCATGAAGAAGATGACATTATACTAACAAATGATTACTGGACCTTACTTGTTCATAAAGATATATCACTACTCCGAGAAGCTTACGAACACAACAGTAGAATATTAGAAACCCTGACCGACTCTGTGAAATCAACACCTATTCGCACTATAAGCGTCTTTCGATCAGAAGTTAAAACACATATCAGCCTTATTACTCAAATTTCGAATTCAGTCAAATCAAAACTGAATGAAATATCCCTGGATACAAAAAAATACAAACGCGGACTTATTGACGGAATAGGTAGTATTTTCAAGTCAATCACCGGTAACCTCGATGCTTCTGACGGCGAGTATTATTCGAATTGTATCAATAAGCTACATGACGACGAACACCAATTAGAAAACCTTCTAAAAAATCAAATTTCGGTCACAACGTCAGTAATAAAAAATTTCAATATGACCATACGGAAACTTCAAATAGACGAAAAAACGTTCAATGAAGACATAAGAGAAGTCGAAAAATCATTTAGTGAAATGAATAACGCTCTATCATTTATTCAAGGCAAACTCAAAGTTTATGACCTATGTGAGAAACTTATGGAGAGTTATGTGTATCTTGAGGACAGCCTTGACTATATAATAAATTCAATCACATTTGCTAGACTTGATATCATCCACCCTTCAATAATCACACCTGACCATTTAGTAGGCGCTTTACAGGAAATTTCCCAAAATTTGCACAAAAGTAACTTACCTCTACCTGCAAAATTAGCCAATGTTGCCCAATATCTTGATATCATTGAACTCCAAGCATTCCAAATAAATTTAAATATTGTTTTTGTTCTGAAAATTCCCTTAATTGATCCTCAGATATACCACCTCTATCGACTCTACCCTGTTCCGATATTCGACAACAGAACTGGTTTACATCATGTCCTCTCGATTTCACAAAAATATATCGCGAAAGACGATGATTCCTTGATGTTCGTACCAATCAGCGACATGGAAGATTGTAAAGCTGTATTTCCTGGAATGAAGATGTGTTCCAATATATTTCCATACCCGATAGACAACACTGCCATGTGTGAAGCCCGTATCATGAGAACATTCCGAAAAGTACCAGAAAACTGTCAGAGTGCCCTCATACTCAGTCAAGGATATAAAGTCCAGAAACTAGCCGAACTATTGGTTAGCGATTCTGTCAGAACCGATACAGATAACAATAAATTGCCCCAAGAAGAGACCAGAGACCAGAATCCTTCACAAGAACTCTCTAATCAGCCTCAAAAATGATTGCAGTGCCTTCATTGGAATCACCAAAATTCAAGCTACCTCGACGAAAACTCTGAATATTTCGTACGGGACCTATCCAGTCGAAATCCCGTACGAATGTTGCAATGACCTTCCTTAACAAGCTGACCTGCCGAATTTAAAACCACTTAAATTGAGCGATTTGAATGTCGATGACCTAGACATCGCCAAACATAAGTTAGAATCCTATTTCAAGACGTTGGACGACCTAATCAATCAGCCATTTGTGGACAAAAACATATCCTGGTTCACGTATTTCACTATAGCCCTCATCGCAATCCTAATTCTTCTATACATATTCTGTAAGTGTAGAAGAATGAGAAGACTATCTATAAATGGTCCATCCGATGCACCATCACCTCCGCCTAGAGGAAGTAAGGCCATGAGAAGTATTCGAGCCATGTTTCCAAGAAGACGACCCAATTTGGGAGCCCAGACGAGTACAGAAGAAGAGCAAGAAGATGCCTTCATCAAACCCGGCGCCTAGGTTGGCACTTCCAAAAAGTTGTCGATGTAGAGCAACAAATTTTTCAAAAGTTGGGAGCTGTAATATGAATATTCCCATCATATACCAGGAATACTTGTGCAAGTACCATCTCAGGAGTTTCACATTACTGATGACTTCAAGGCCGAGTAGTAACCGAAGACACACACGTGTCTGCTGACTCGACATCCTCAGAACTTAGATGCTACATCGTTGCACTGCGAAGAATCAGTTCTACTCAAACCAAGCTCTCGTCAACATCTAATTTTTCATTGTATTAATTCCATTCAAATTTTAGCCCATTCAAATAAATTGTTTTTAAAAAGTCTTTAGTGCTTCAAGTGATTTAACATCTTTGAAATCAGAAAAGAAATAACTTCATTGAAAATAACGAGGTCTTTACCGAGTTCTTATATCAGCGATATTCATTTTTTCGTCACATCGTACAATTTTCTGGAGGGTCGGAACAAACCCTACAACTTTTGTATTCGAAGTTTTTTTCTTCTTCGATGCTGAACCCTTTAGAAGTCGTTCAAATTACATTGCGAGACATGAATGTGAATGATGTTTATGTTTACTGGGGAAGTCGAATTTCGGAAAGAGAGTCATAGGAGGAAGTATCACCGTGGATTTCTTACCTGCGTGAAGTTACCTACTCCGCCACCGGGAATGGCCAGATCGAACTGGTTTGAGCCCAAGTCGCCACCGGTGTTGGTGATCTGCACGAGGAACTGCTTGCCGGCCAGCTGGCCTTGGAAGGTCAGCAGCATGCAAGAGCAGCATAGGTTGTTGTCGACGCCACCTGAGTAAAGTGAAACAATCGTTAAAGTCTTTGCGAAATCACTTGAGAGAGCTGGATCGAAAATGAACTGCGCCCATTTAGTACAAGACGTCCAGTGGACGTCTAGTTTAGGTCCAAATGATGTTCAAAGTCCATGAACCTAGCATTGACGTTCAATGGTTGTACAATTAGGGATACATTTCGTAATGTTCAGTACTATACTCTTAATGGATGTCCATTGGGAGTACGATATTCGGCATATCGAAACATCCATATTTGGAGGTTTCAGAACGTCCAAGAAATGTACGGAATCGGATCTAGATTGTTTGTTTACGTGAATGAATGTACGATTCGGGATATATTTTGTGAGTTCAAAACTGTACTTCTGATGGATGTTCATTGGAAGTTCAATATTCGACATTTCCGAAAAATCTATATTTGCAGGTTTCAGAACGTCCAAGAAACATACGCTATTGAATCTAGATTCTACGTTTAGAAATCGAACTTCTATGTACAATCTTTGAATGTCTGATGTTCGCATGTTTATTGAAAGTCCAATATTCGACATCAGGAATCATCCATATGATGGTAGTTTTAGCACGTCCATAAGATGTATATGATTTGATTGTTCACAAAATGGACTCCAATGCAAGTTCAGTAGATGTACGATTCAGGATATGTATTGTACTTTCAATTTCTTACGTCTAATGATTATCCTGTGGATGTTCAATTTTCGACATTATGAAACATCCATATTATGGTAGTTTTGGAACGTCTATGTAATGTACGAAAGTGATATAGACTTAACGTCTACAAATTGAACATATACACACACCGGCACAATTAGGGGAACGGGCAAACTTCACACTAAGTTTTACGTCAATTTACTCTTGAACACATCGCTCGATTTGAATTTTTTTCTTCAAGAATTGTAGCTTGATTTTTCAAGAATACATGTGACGTATAAACATCATCGAATGATCCGTCTTTATATCATTTACAGAGGTGGAAAGAAAGTACGGAATTTTCGGTATTTTTAAGACATCCTGTGAGGTGAATCAATGACAATTGACACCAGTCTATATCACGAAATCGTAGCCTGATCTTTCCCAAACATTTTCATTCATACTGATATCTCCATTATGGAGAACAACATGTTGCTTTTAAAGGTGGAGAATCTCACTCATTCTTGGCGGGCTCAGGTGTACCACAAGGGTCAAACCTGGGTCCATTACTTTCCTCAATTTTCATCAATGAGCTTCCAGAAGGGATTTCATCCAATTGTTTGCTATATGCTGATGATTTTAAGATGTATAGAAAAGTTAATGATCTCAATGATTATCTTGAACTGTAAAGTTATCACGTTCTCTCGGAACAATAATAGACACAATTTCATTTACACTATGCAAAATACTATTTTAGAAAGAGTCGACAAAATATGTTACCTTGGAGTAATAATTCAAAGTGACTTCAAGTACACTCTACACATGCAGAATATTGTGAAAGAAACCAATGAGTTGTTCGGTTTCTTGAAACGTAGCACACAAGAATTCACAGATACAAATGTCATTAAACACTTGTTCATCACAATTGTTCGAAGAAAGATAGAATATGCTTGTACTACATGGGATCCAGGACAACAAAAAATGAAAAAAATGATGGAAACAATCCAAAATAAATTTCTAAAATTCCTATATTACAAAAAATATAAACTGTCTCCTAGTTTCACTTCTTACGGCCCTATTAGAGAAGAATTCGGTTTAGAAATTCTTGAACGTAGAAGAATCCTCATAAGCTTAATCTTACTTGCTAAATTATTGAATGGACAGGAAGATAGTATGTTCGTAATTAGTGAAATTTCCCTTTACGTACCGCCACCAGGAGTTCGTCCACGACAAATATCTTTCTACATAAATAAATACGATACCCCAGTCAATAGATTATGCAGATTATATAATACATATTCGGCAACCATGAAGTATGGTGTTTTTGATACTTCAATTCCTAAATTCAAAGCCAATTTGAAGAATGTTATAAATGCTTGGTGAGAATTCATGATGTCTGGTGTGAATTTCCTCTTCTTCAGTTAGGTATTCATTGTCATTATTATCATTATTGGTATCATTATTGTTGTTGTGAGTATTATTATTATTGCCATATTTAATTTAATTTTAATTGTCTCTTATATTTAGATTTTTCTAGAAACATGTTATTAGGCCCTGCCTGTTTGTTTCTGCAGAATGAATGAATTGTAATGAAGTGTTTTTGACCAGCTTCATTACTAGTCTGGTTTTGATCAAAATCTAAGTACCTGAGCCTGATTCTAGTTGAATTTCACCTGTTCGAAAGCTCGAAACCTGAAAACCTGAGAGAGCTGAGTAATGCATTGATTCCTGACTTCACAAAGCTTTTCCTGATAGTAAAAGCTGATGAACATCATTACAACCCTAAAGACTTCAATATTTTTCAACCCTTTGCTTATGATATGAAATTTGATTGAATTATTTATCAGTTGAAATGATGAATGTTTAAATGCTCATAACTTTGTTGTTATTGAATATTTTCCAGCCAAATTCATTCAGTAGCATGAGCAAAGGTAGTAGATCCTGTTCCTGTGCCCATTTAGGGTGTAATATTATTTTTTTCCGCGTTTTGTGTTGGAGGTGCACATGTGTTTTTCAAGGACAGATTCAGTGGCCATGGCCATGAGCCATGACAAGGTGGGAGTTGTGACCAATGAGATTCCAGATTTACTTGTCCTTGTGTCACGGCCAAAGTAGTGCATAAATACTGAAGACAGCCAAGGATTCGGGACTCTCTAAGCTCTTCTCGACCAGTCTACACTACCTGATCGCCGTTGCTCTTCAAGCTCCTGATTCTCAAGCTGATCATTTAGTGCTCTCATAGTTCATTCAAAACCAGTGTAAAATAGTATTGTATAGTGATTTCCTGTTACACATGTAAGTTTGTATATTTTTCACCAGTGTTATTCATCCTGTTTATAGCCTCATTTCATTCCTGTTGTTTTTCACACCGATACTCACCCGACCTGTGTAAAGAATCCAGAACTCTAAATTGAATAAACGGATTTTGTGATTGCATATTTCATATTTCCTTCTCTGTTGTCATTGTTTTCAGTTCCAAATAGTTCAATAATTTATTTAGTGATTTTCAATATTTTCATTTGTCAAAATTGCAGAATATTATTATTGACTGACGACTGACACTGACAAGCCAGTTAACAACTCTTCTTCTTCTTTTCCTTGAGAAATCCAGTCCTGTGCACCGGTGTCTCTGTGCTTTGTATCCCGCCAGGCGGTGTTCTATGTTTCAGAACTATTGACATTAATGGAAAAATATAATTAATTAACCTCACTAAAAATCCGATACTAGAAAATTAGAAAAATCGAAGGAAAAGGAAAGATAACTAGAAATTGAATCTGTTTAATTCGTTTAGAACTGTGTTTCCGATTCTCCAGGTAGGAATGATGAAATCGTTGAATAAATAATTTTCCAGACCTAACCTTGAAATATCAAAGACCTGAGAGATATTTTGCTTTGATTCCTGTAATTATCCAGACCAGTAGACCAGAAATAGCAACCAGTATTCCAGGCTAGACCCAGGGTTTGTAATTAAAGCCTACACTCCCTTGGCTACTTATTGATTCCAGGTCGATTCAATACCATTGACCCCTGGATTATACTGTGGGTACCGAGGTAGGTATACCTCCTGTACCTTTCTCCACTGTTGCTACTGTGGGCCTCCTTCCCGACTAAGTTGGGAGGAGCAGGTGAAGTAAATCACCTTTATCAAAAATCTGGCGCTCGAGAATTCCCCCCTGTCAAATACCAGAGTAGTCTCCTGTCCTGAACAGAGCGTCAAAATAAGGGCCCCAGAATAAAGACCATTACAGAATAAATAAATAAATAAATTATTCAAGATAATATAAAGAAGAAAAGGTGGAGATTGGTCTTACCACCTCGAAAATCGAATTGGATCCGAAAATGTGTCATATCCCAAGTTGTTTCCTTGAGAATTTCCACTTCAAGTTGAATATTGTTCTCAGTTTCACGTATCAGTCTATAGTGTCAAGAATTCTTGGAAATATACAGAGGTGAATAAAAAGAAAAGAATTTACTCAAAGCCTTCATTCAATAACGATAACATTAACGCAAGGAACAATAAAGATTCAAAACAACAACAATGATTTCAATAACGCGAGTGACCTCCACGCGCCCTTATTACAGCAGTCATCCGTCTCCTTATGCTTCCGATGACATTTTCAATCATTCTTTGAGGAAGATTATTTCATTCCCATTTTTAGTGTAGAGGACGGTAAAAGTGAGATGAATATCCACATTTTATTCAAAACAATGAATTCTGTTATGATTGAGATATCAAAATGAATTAAAAAAAAAATCGGATTGAGTGGGTCACAATTTGGTGTTGAAAAATCGTTAGAATTATCAGTGGTTCACTCCACAGAATGTCTTGAAAAATACCGAAAAATACGCACATTCTTCACATCCCTGTATATGATATAAAGACGAATCGTTTGAGGATGGTTATTTGTCAGATGTATTCGTGAAGAATCAAGCTACAATTCTTGGAAACAAGAAATTCAATCCAGCGATGGGCTCATGAGAAAATTGATGTCAAACTTAGTGTAAATTTTGCCCGTTCAGCTAATTGTGCTGGTGTGTGTATGTACGTTCAATGAATATTCGATCCTGGATATATATTTTACGTTCAATATTTAACGTCTTATGAATGTCCATTGGAAGAACAATTTGCGACATTGTGAATCATCCATATGATGGTAATTTCAGATTTCCCAAGAAATGTACTTAATCGTTTACAGTGTGTACGTCAAAAAATTATACTTTTATGTACGTTCAGTGGATGTATGATTCCGGATATATATTGTATGTTCAGTTTTGTGCGTCCAATGATTGTCCAGTGAATGTACATTTTATGACATCATGAAACATATTTATTAACGTGAATGAAATGAACGTACGTTCACAAATTTAACATCTATGTACGTTCAATGAATATACGATTCAGGATATAATATATGGTACGCTCAATAGTGCTCGATCCATATAGACTTGGACAGTGGATGAACATCCAATGGATGCCCATTAACCACCAGTACATTGAAAATTCGTGAAGATTCAATTGAATGATGGACGCCCATTGGACATCTTCTCGTCGAATCGAAATATATACCACGATATATACGATTTGCCAATCGATCAATTCTTCACATTCGAATAGTGAGTTGATCATATTTTCGATGTCATGTGATATAAATCATGAAGAAGTAACAAATTTAAAGGCAGCAAAAGTTTTGGAGTGAAATCAGATTTTGTCAAGAAGATACCGATCGCATACCTGTCAATATGAATTGCCGGGGTAGCAATCGGGTGGGACCAATTCCCACCCCCTCTAACAAGACTCCCAATAGGGATGACTGCCGGCCTGTATCTTTCGACTATACCGACAGCACCCCATCAGGAAGAAATAAAGGATTTGGATACGCCAAATCAGCACGCTAGAGCCATCTCCGTTATGTAACGGCATGTTCTCCTGCTACCATTTTATTGTACCAATGGTGGGGCCGTCTGATAAGACAGACTACTATCTCTGCAATGTCAGTAGCCGAGCAGAAAATGCTGCTCACTCGCCGAGGCAGGCAAGATATCCTCCCACTTGACCCATAGTGGGATTCCGTAGTCCGGCGGTGTTTTTGGAAACCGCTGCCCCCAGGAGTTCAACCCAATTGGTGAGGCACCAGGCCGTATATACAGCTTGGGGGGTATATCCTCATCAATCCAGGTACCCATGTCAACAAGATTCCTCTTGTTACGGTTGATGGGTCACCGTCGCAAGAGGCGCCTAATTGCTGCTCATGTTGACAAGAACGCTCTCGTCCCGTTGAATGAGTGATCGTTCGAGGACTTCCACACGTTCCTCTGCCTCGTTTACAGGAGAGGACCCGGCCTTTCCTACGATGACTGGCGGTAGAATCGCTTGGGGCTGCCCCCACCCTGACGAACTAAGCCACAAGGTACACCAAAGTTCCAGTTTCCGCTGAGAAAACCCAGCTACACATGTCGACCAGAATCCTCCAGTTCCGTTTGATGGGTGATCGTTCGCGGCCTTTCACGCACGTACCGCTACCATGACAAGAGTGGGAACCTCAAGCTTTTAACCAGTTGTGTCTGGAGTCACGAGGGGCCACAACTGACCGAACGCTTACCTGTGAAAGAACCAGCAGCGAAACCGAAAGCCAGAGTAGAATTAACCACGAACGCCTGCTGATTGCTGCACATGTAGGAAGAGCCGCCAATGCATCCCGACTGCACCGACGCGTCGACTACCGTGTTGCCGTCTATGGCGCATGTCTGGACGGGCGTCATCGTAGGCGTCTTGATGTTCTCCTTCCAGGCGCAGGAGGGCTTGCAACAGTCCCAGTAGCGGGTGGTGGTGCCATAGCCGCTGAGGCCACCGTTTACAGGAACGATTTCGTGCGAGGCATCGGCGGCTGCGAGGCTGCCAGAGGCAGCGACTAATGAAAAGGAAAATGTTCATAATGTTGCCTGTAAGCAGTGGCGTAACAAGAGGGTGGCGGCTTGTTTGGGTCGCGAGCACAGAAGGATACTATTCTTTATCATTTCAAATGAAATATTTGAAAACTTGACAAACGATAACACAACATGTTTCGCTAACATAGTAGTTTCGTCAGGTGATATACTGGTTGAATGAACTGAACCAATCTTGGTTCGCTTAACTTTTATATATCCCACTTTTCCAACTTGGAAGATTAGTTACCTACCTGTGGACAGGTTCGATAAACCTCCATTTCCGGAAATTAGGCACAATATCTACATCAAAATACGGTGTACCGGATTAACTTGAAAGGGTTGATAGCAAATACATATGAGTACCTACTAAGAAAACAAATTCAACAGTGGTGAACTTTTGAGGTCTAGTTGATCGTTAAGTAAAATGTCAAAATTTTTTAGTTTGTTGATTTCCAATGATTCAAACCGATTGAGTTTCATTTCTTCATTCTCTACGTGTAAAATTTCGAAATTATCATCAAAGCTGTGGTTTTCTTCTATATATAGTCGACGTATGTTGAATTTGTTTTCTTTTTCATTAAATTCATCTTATGTTCATAAATGCGCGTATTCAGTATCGAGTTTCACCAAGTGCACCTTTTTGGTGAAATTTGTATTTTTCATGTTCTGGTTCCCAGGAAAAGGGTTATCCTGTAATGTTCAGAGAACTTCGTGAGAACTAAGGAAAATTGAGTAGGAATTGGTGTTCTTCTTAAAATTCTGGAGGATATATGCCTCAGGGAACATCTTCCTTGGCAATGTGTTCCAGAGTCTCGCTGTTCGTTGGTTGAACGAGTATTCGAAAAGAGATGTTCTGCAGGTCTCCCAAGTGACCACGAAGGGGTGCGAAGCCTCAACTCGACGGGTTGTTCTAGCGGGGACTGCAAACGGAGGTACAATTGTTGATAATTCAGAAGAGCATCGTCCATGAAAATATCTATAAAATAGAGCCAGATCGCCAACTTCTCTACGGTGTTTCAGAGAAGTGAGTGAGTTTGTGAGTGAGGCATCACCAACGAGACGAATTGCCTTTATTTGGACAGAATCTAACAGTTTCAGGGTATGTTTGGGTGCCGCACTCCAAATATGGAAACAGTATTCCAGGCAGGTCGGATCTGTGCCTTTTAGATCATAAGCAGCTGACTGGAAGTAAAATTGCTTCTGGTCCCAAACAGAAAACCAAGTTTTTGAGATGCACTTCTAGCAATTGATCTTACGTGATTTTCCAAAGAAAGGTTATTGCTTATAGTAATACCAAGCATCGAAATGGATGTCTTCAAAGGTATGGTTACTCCTGACATTCTCATGTTTGGCATAGTGAGATCGGCTTTTCTAGAGAAAAGGCATGCTTGTGATTTGTTTACATTGAAATCAACCAAGTTATTGGATCCCCACTCGAGAATTGTTGCCAAGTCCATATTTATATTTTCAACATTTCTTCCTCGTTCGTTTGTGATTTGCCTGGCTGGTATTGGAGCCCTGGAAGAGAAGGCGGTATATCATCCGCGAATCTGTGTACTGGACATGAAGTCGCTTTCAACAAATCGTTGATATGGAATAGGAATAGTGTTGGTGCTAGAATTGATCCTTGCGGAACACCAGCATTTATGGTAAGAGAGACAGATGAAACTCCGTCGACCACTACATGAAGAGACCTGTTTGAGAGGAAACTAGCTAGCAGAGAACATAGTTGGGGAGGCAAGCCATAAGATGAAAGCTTGGCGAGGAGTCCGTGGTGCTAGGCTCGATCGAATGCTCTGGAAATATCAAGTGCCACGGCTAAGGTTTCACCATATTTTTCAATAGATTTCGAATGCTTCGATAATTGAACATTCTCTATTCATTCAAAATGTTTTCATTGATACAGTGTTGCCACTTCTACCAGAAACAACTAGCAACTTCGTTATTTCAAAAGGAGCACCCTGTATTTTATTGCATTTCTAGATTCTTTCTGAAGAGCTGATTTCATTGATATATCACACTTGTCTAGCAGGAATGATTACAGAGATGAAGGGTGTCAAAATCGAGATTCTTCAATTTTGGGATTTTTTTGTGTCGAAACTATTCATTATCGATCAAAACGGTTTACATGTCCCTATCTCAACTTTCGATCCACTTTATACTGACATTAGATTGAAACAGATACAGGGTGATCCGAATTCTGAATCTTGAAGCAGCCTGTATTTTTTCCAATTAAATTTCAGTAGATATCTGTTCTCATTGCTGCTCGACCCCAAGTTTGATACATCGATAAAATCAGCTCCTCAGGAAGAATTCAAGAATGCAATAAAATACAGAGTGTTCCATTTGAAATAACAAAGTTGCTAGTTGTTACTGATAGAAGTGACAACACTGTATCAATGAAAACATTTTAGACGAATAGAGAATGTTCAATTATCGAATCAGAATGTTCTGTCTTCTCATTCTCCAGATAGTTCTAATAGGCCATCCACCGTGACCCACCCTGTATAATGTTAACCTCAAAACAGTTATGTTTAGAACCATGTAACTAGCGCCCACTATGAAAGTTGGATATGAAAACAAATTCATACCATGTGTCAGGCAGTGAATCAATGTAAACAACTACATTGAGTTTTATGGTGTCAGTTTCGAAAACACATCCATACAAAACTTCATGACAATGTTGCCAGTAGTTTCGACATAATCGTAGAAAATATGTAATAAAAACATTTATCTACAACTATAGAGTCATTCATACATTGCTAACTCAATTTTCAACATTCAATGACAGACATTATTGTAATAAATCGAGTAATGAGAGTGATAATGACAGTAGGATGGCGTAATAATCTGACATCCCATCGTCTTGTCAAATTCAACTAGGTAGGTATTCGTTCTACTAGTTCTACTAAAGCACACCACTATACTGCTGCCTGTGAAATACACGAAAATTCAAAAGACTCACATTACATGGTTTTCATAATTTTAATCACCTTAATTCTACAAATACACGGAAAAATGAGAATTCACTGTTTTTCATTCTCAACAGTGACTACCATCATGAGTAGGTTAGGTTAGGTTAGGTTGAACGTGAGTGGGCCTATTGTCAGGCCCTCCACTGCGGCCATTGGCCTATTGTGGCTCACCCTAGGGTTATATTTCTCCCTGTATATCCAATTTCTTAACGAAATTGAGGATTGCGTTGGGAGAACAATTTACCAGGTTTTCTGGCCTTACTGTTGTATTGCCGAATATTGAAAATCTGGTTCTGGCCGCTGCGGGGCATGTACACAGGATGTGTTTCGCCGTTTCATCCTCCTCCATACATAGGCGGCACTCTGCATCTTGTGCAAGTCCGATTTTGTGCATGTGGTATTTGAGTTTGCAGTGGCCAGTGAGCAATCCTACTATAACTCTGAGATCTGCTCTGCTGAGTTCTAGTAGTTTGTCAGTGTCCTGTTTGTTCCTTGTACCAGCAATAAATGCTTTGGAATGGGCTAGGCCCGGTAGACTGCGCCAGTACTCGAGTCTTTTCTTATCTGCCCAGGATGTTATAGCATTCTTGGCAGTGCTATATGCTATACCGATGATCGGTTCTGGCCCAGTGAACGGTGTTTCGGCCCCCCCTTTTGCTAGGGCGTCCGCTATTTCGTTTCCTACTAGGCCCGTGTGACCTGGTATCCAAACTAGGTTCACGTTGTTACGTTCTGCTAGTTGGTTCAAGGTTTCTCTGCAGTTCCATACTGCTTTAGATTTAAAGCAGTTGGATTCAAGCGCTTTCAGTGCTGCTTGACTATCTGAAAATATTTTTATTGTTTTCCGTGTGTGGTGTCGATTTTCCAACTCCCTTGCACACATTTCAATGGCATGTACCTCTGCCTGGAATATCGTAGCTAATTTGCCCATGCTGAATGAGCGTTTCACTACTGGGTTCATCCCGTATATTCCGGCTCCGACGCCTTCCAGAGTTTTAGAACCATCGGTGAACCAACATTCATTAGCCCTATATAGGTCAGTTTCGTTCCGAGCCCAGTCTTCTCTTTCAGGGAAGACCACCGTGTAGGATTTGTGAAGGTTGATAGTTTTAGGCATGATGTCTGAGGGCATTCCCAGAATGTTGTGAGCTATTATGCCCTCCAGCATGCTGCTGCCTCTCATGACTATTGCCTGCGGTTGACTAGTGGCCGCTTGGTGATGTCTGTATGTTGCCCATCTTGCTTCTCTCTCCAGAACTATGTGAAGAGGAAGTAGTCCAAGAAGGCCTTCCATTGCTGCTGTTGGCGTGGAGCAAATGGCCCCCGTAATCGCCAGGCACGCTTGTCTCTGTAGTCCATTGAGTTTGGCCTGGGCCATTTTCTGTTGGCCTTTGCCCCACCAGACTACAGAGCCGTACGTGATCATAGGTCGTATGACGGTCACGTACAGCCAGTATACTTGTTTTGGTGACATGCCCCATGTTTTGCCACATATTCTGCGGCATGTCCATAGTGATAGGCTAGCCTTTCGGATAGTCTTTTCCAGGTGCGAGTTCCAATTTAGCTTTTTATCAAGGGTTAGTCCAAGATATTTTGCTTCACTCGCGAAAGGAATTGTTACACCATTGATGGAAGGAGGTCTTAGATGTTCCAGCTTCCTTTTTCTGGTGAACGGTACTATGACCATTTTGTGGGGGTTAATGGACATTTCCTCCCTCTCACACCATTTATATATGGTATCTAGTATATCCTGAAGGACGTAGGAGATCGTCTCTTCGGATTTGCCTCGTATTACTAGGACCAGATCGTCAGCATATGCTTGCAGATCGACCTCCCATATCGAGAGAATGGCCAGCAAATCATCCACCAGCAGTGACCACAGCAGAGGGGAGAGGACTCCCCCCTGCGGGCAGCCCCTGGCTGGCTTGAAGCCGACACTTTCCCCCTGTAGGGAGGTCGTTATGGTTCTGCTATGAAGCATAGTTCTTATCCAGTCACATAGTATTGGT